GACTCCCTTGCAAATCCCATTCCTGCTGGGTGCGGGGCATGAGCCTCTGGAGGCGGGCCTAGCCCCGTGTCCCCGTGTCCCCGTGTCCACAGTGCTGGATGTGAACGACGAGACGCCCACCTTCTCCCCGGCCGTGTACAACGTGTCGGTGTCTGAGGACGTGCCGCGGGAGTTCCGGGTGGTCTGGCTGAACTGCACCGACAACGATGTGGGCCTCAACGCCGAGCTCAGCTACTTCATCACAGGTGGGCGGCCCGCGGCTGGAGCGGCGGGCTCGGGGCTCGGGGCTCGGGGCTCGGTTCTCGCCCCTGCGTCACGGAGGGTGTGCAGCGTTCCCCAAGGGCCCTGCAGCTCCATCACTCTGCTCGAGCTCCCTGGGGACCTCCTGAACCTGTCAAGGGGTGACACAGGGGAGGGAGGACTGGCTGGGCTTCCCCCTGCACCCCAAGTCAGGGTGAGGAAGAGTGACTGGGGGCACGTGGCCTTGTCCTTCCCCGGGGACCCCTTACCCACGCGGAGATCGCCCATCTGCTTAGAGGCAGCTGGCTTGGGGGGCCTCAGTCAGCTGGTTTAACTTTAAAATGGTGACCAGCTACCCCCTGGACAGCTGTGGCCAAAGATGATGGGGCCCTGTCCTGTCGCGACCAGGAACACGAGTCATGATGGATTAGCCACGTCTGCCGCAGTGGCAGGACAGACAGGATGGCGGTCCTTCCCTGGGCTGGGCATCCTTCTGGGCACCCTTCACCGGAGAGGTGCTAAGACACACGGTGGGTGGGAGAGTCGGCAGTCCTCAGCCCTCAGCCCTCCAGCGGCCCCCCTACAGGGCTGTCTTCTCTCTGCTCATGATTGGCCCGCGGCCACATCACGCACGCCCAAGCACATGCCTACCCATGAGCTTGCACACGTGCGCAGTGTGCACTCGGGCTCCCTGACTCCTCTGCCCTGGAGCTCGGACTCCGGGGCTCACAGCCCTTCCAGGGTCACTGCAGCCACTCGCTTCCCTACCCGATGGGGCGACCTCCAGCCTGGTCCTCAGGACTGACCCAGGAAAGGCATAGGTACCGAGAGCCTGCACCCTGCACATGGCAGTCAGCGCCAGGGTTCAGTCACCGACACTAATTATTCCTTAGTTCTTCCCTGTCCCTGCTAGAAGCCAGATTTGTCCTTACAGATGGTACTTCACACACTGGGGAGTGCTAGAGGAGTGGGGCCAGGACACTTCCAGGGGCAAACCAGCAAGGACAAGGGAGTTCTTGGCAGCCCCCGGGACGCATTCCCGCATTCCCTGGACTCGCGGGTTCTGGCCTGCTGAGAGCCCTTCCAGATCCTCAGCGCCTCTGCAGAGTCCTGGTCCCAGCTCTCCCCAAACCTAGTACCGTGGCGCCCTCTGCTGCCCAGAGCGCCACACTGCCTGCAGCTCACAGGGGAGGGGTTCCCATGTGGTCCCCAGCCCTGTCCAACCACAGAGAAGAGACCCTCACACTTCCCACCTGTCCTGGAACTCAGAAAGACTGTCTCTGTCCACCCACCTCTGCTCTTCACACACTGGATCTCAGCTGAGCCCAAAGTCCTGGGCCACATTTCAAAGCTCCCACTCAAGTTAACTGCTCAGCCACTTCTGCAGGGAGGCAGGGGGCAGAGTGGAGAAGGGGCAGCATGTCGTGACCTCAGAAAAGGACCCATTTCTCCTCTCTGTCAAACGGAGGTTAAATGAACCCGTCAATGGGGAATGGCCAGGATGTAGTAGGTGCTCAATAAATGTTATGCCCCTATGTCCAGGAACCTGGCCCATGCAGCTGTGCCCTCATCACAGCCCCTGGGGAGGGCTGAGCTGAGCATGGCACTCACTCCTGGGCCACCCCAGGCATGCAGCAGAGACTTGGGGGGCAGCTCCCTTTGCCTGGTCCTGGAGCTCTGCTACCAACCCGAAGCTTCCTTCTCTTCTATCCATAGGGGGAAACGTGGACGGGAAGTTCAGCGTGGGCTACCGCGATGCCTTTGTCAGGACGGTGGTGGGGCTGGACCGCGAGACCACTGCCGCATACACACTTGTCCTGGAGGCCATCGGTACGTACCAGCTGTGCCACACACACACACCACACCACCAACACGGCCTCACGGGGCAGAGTTCACATGGAGGCTTCCAGGGGCCAGGCGTGGAGCCAAAGGAGGGATTCTGCCCTGAGGCCAGTGAACAAAGTGCCACCAAGCACTAGCACTTGCGGCCGAGGCTCCTGCTCTGGGCTGTATGTGAAGCTTAGGATGCTAAGGCAGGGGCTTCCTGGGAGCCAGCAGAGGCCAGCAGGGAGACCCTCACTGCAGCGCCAGGCCAAAGAGAGCAGGAAGGGAGAAGGGAGGGCACAGGCGCATCGGGCACCCGGGTGGCAGGAACAGGCAGTGGGCGAGGCCAAGGAGGGCTTCCGAGATGCCCTGGAGCCAGGTCGGACTCCCTGGATCACACGTTTAAAAATAGAATAAGCTGACCTCAGCTCTGTGGGCTCCCAGAACCAGTCCACGGAGACCTCGCGGTAGGTGCGACTGGATTCAGACCCAGGTGGTGCCATCTGGCCTGGGGATCCACGTTGGCTGGCTCTTCCTTCCCTGCATCACCTGGTGGCGGCAGATCATGGCAGCAGCCCCACCCACCCACCCCGCCTTTCTACCCTCTCAGGTTCAAGTGCAGGCAGGGCAGACAGACCTTGCTTCTTACACAGGGTCCCAGCAGAAGCCGCAGATTAGCTCCGTCTGTCCCAGGGCCGTCACTGAGCCTTTGTTGTGACCAGGGGACTGAGGTGCGCGGGTTGGTTAGGCCTAAGCCCCAGGCCCATGCCTGGAGCTGAGCTGGGGCAGAGCCTCCTGCCCGGAATCCCAGGCCTCAGAGTCAGAGAGTGGGGGACGGTCCTCTCAGAGGAATACTCAGGGCCTGGTCTGAGAGAGAGAGAGAAGCAGCTTTCCCAAGGTTGGCCTACACTAGAGAGAGAAGACCAAGATCAGAAAGGTCTCGGTTTGCCAGGCGTCGTGGTGTACAACTGTAATCCCAGGGGCTCGGGAGGCTGAGACAGGAGGATGGCTAGTTCAAAGCCAGCCTCAGCAACAGTGAGGCGCTAAGCAACTCAGGGAGACCCTGTCTCTAAATAAAATACAAAAGGGCTGGGGGGTGTGGCTCAGTGGTTAAGCACCCCTGGTTTCAATTCCTGGTACCAAAAGAGAAAGAAAGAAAAATAGATAGATGGATCGGTTGATCTGGGGTTTGGGAAGCCTAAGGTTGGACTGGAAATTTGGACTTTGATCTTCAGGCAGTTGGGAGCCTTTCAGGGCCCTGGAGGGTAGGGGCGGGATGAGCTGTCTGACTCACTCTTTCCAGCGCAGTTCATCCCCAGCCCAACCTGCCTGGACACCCTCATCCTGTTTCTTCCCACCCTGGGGCGGCCACCCCACCCTTGAAGACCCCTCATCCCCTCTGAGTCCAGCCGCAGCTTCGGGCATCAGCTAGCAGGAGGAAAGGGCTCAGGCTCCGACATTCTGGGTGGCCTCCCAGCTCAGTGTCCCCAGCTGGGGCAAGTGAGCAGGCCCCTCGGGGTGGCTGGAGGCTAGGCTGGGGGAGAGCTTGGGAGTTAAGAGGATCTGCTTGGGGGGGTGACTGCATCCGGCATGTGGCCAGCTAGCCTGGGGAAGAAGCAGAGTCACCCTTGGTTCCCAGCCAACTCCAGCTGCCACGCCTCTCCCTGGGGTGACCGCCCTGGCCTGGTCACAAACATTGGGCACAGCTCCTTCCTCCAGGGAGGACAACCCCACAGCTGTCCTGGGCAGGGCCAAGGCTTCCACCCTCACCCCCACCCCAGGCTGGGAGGGTTCTGCAGAGTCCCCGGATGGACACCTTGGGTTTAGGAGCCAGGCAGGACCAGGCCCCTGAGTGCAGAGCCCCCCACCCCCCAGCCAGATCTGCCCTGCAGCACATCTCTAAGCCCCAGTGTTTTCATAGGAATGACAGCTCTTGTTTAAAAGTTCAGATATTCTATTTCTTTTGAGAAATTGTGGGCGTGGGTGTCCCACATTCTGCCCATCATCGATGGACAGGAGCAGAGGACAGCTCCCTCCCTGTCCCTCACCCCCAGCTGCTGGCTTTGCCTGTGTCTGTGTCCTCCATTTGCGTCACAGATTGGGTGGCTTAAAACATCAGAATGTATCTCTCCTGGGTCTGGAAGTTCACAAGGAGGGGTCAGCAGGGCCTCAGTCCCTCCGCAGGCTCTAGGGGAGAACCCTTCCCCGACGCCCGGTTTCCCATGGCTGTGGGTGCTCCTTGGCTGGTGGCTTCATCTCCACGTGACCTTCTCCCTGTCTCAAATCTCCTTCTGCCTTCTCTTTTTTTTCTTTTCTTTTTTGAGACAGGGTGGGACTAAGTTGCCCAGGCTGGCCTTAAACTTGCAATCCTCCTGCCTCAGACCCTCGAGTGCTGGCACTACAGACAGGCGTGCACCGTGCACCCCGCTCCCCCAGCATGTCTCTCTCATAAAGACGCTTATTGTTGGGTCTACGTCCCACCTGAAGGTCCGAGATGATCTCTTCTCAAGATTCTTAACTTAATTACATCTTCAAAGACCCTTTTTCCAAAAAAAAAAAAAAAAAAAATAGCGTTTGCAGGTCCCCAGGCATCGGGCTATTTCACCTGCTGGGTGCCTCAGTTGCCTTCTCTGTGAAATGGGTGAGGACTGAGTGAGAACAGTGCCCAGCGCATGGGAAGGGAAAGAGTCACTATTGCAAACACTGGGCCAGTGGGCAGAACAGGGCTCGTGTCTGGCTGGAGCCCAGGAGCGTGCATGGGCCCGGGAAGCCTGCCCCTCAGGAAGCCACTGACTGTCCTCCTAAAACTCCCACAGACAACGGCCCCGTAGGCAAGCGGCGCACTGGCACGGCCACTGTGTTTGTCACCGTCCTGGACGTGAACGACAACCGGCCCATCTTTCTGCAGAGCAGCTACGAGGCCAGCGTCCCCGAGGACATCCCTGAGGGCCACAGCATCGTGCAGGCAGGTGGCCCGGGACCCCCTGGTCAGGCGAGCTGGGAGCAGGCAGGGCCACCCTCAGCTCTGAGGGCACTACTCAGTGGCATTATGGCATGGGGGGATGGAAATAGGAGAGGTCCTGAGGAGGACCTGGGACGGGGCCCTGGCTCCCCAGCAAACAGAGAAAGGCCTTGGCCTCCCTCTCCTAGCTCCTCTGCACCCCACCCCACCCCAAAGGGCCTTTCAGAGTAGAGAGGGGACACAGAGGTCACACTTTCCCAGAAGGGAGCTGAGGAGAGCGAGCCAGGGCCCGGAGGCCAGAACACAGGGGCTTTCACAGCCCCTTGGCCCAGCTCCCCTCTTGGGACACAGACAACTGAAGAAGAAAGGGCTCTTTTGGCCCAGAGTAGGATGGCGGCTAAGAGGCTCCGAAGGAACAGGAGGACCGGCCTCCGCACCCCTGAGGCCTGGTTGCCGGGAGAGGGCGGGAAGAATGGCTCCCTTCACCACTCCGGGGCTTTCCAGCTGCACTCGGAGGGGCAGCCAAACACAGCAAAGCTGGGCCTGCCCGCTAGGCAGGTTCCTGTGTCTGGGATGGGAGGAAGGGGGAGCTGGGAGTGTGCCCAGGTCCCCGCATGAGGAGCAGGAGACAGGAAAGGAGCCGGGGGCAGGGAACGTACGTGAAGGAACAGGGAGATAGGAAGCCCCGGGGACTTACAAGGCCTGGTGGCGGGTTCTGGAAGGAGGAAGGAGAAGGATTTCCCTGCTCTGGCCTCAGCTGGTGCAGACTTGCAGAGCCTTGCACCTGAAGCTGTGAGCCTCCCCCCTGTGGGACGTGAGAGGCCTCCCAGGACCGGCAGCCCGCCCACTTAGGGGCACAGCCAGAGCTTTGAGAGCCTCCTCCCACCCCAGGATACTCCCCCACCCCCAGGAAGAGAACACAAGAGCAGAGCCTGCTGACCAGGGGACCATGGGGGGTGCTGGACCCACTACCACTGAGTCAGCCTGGGGTGTCTCAGAGAGGCCCTGGGGGAAGTGAACCAGGAAGAGGTGACCAAGCAGGAATGGAGGGAAGAACAAGCCCCTTTGGGGGGAGGCCTGCCTTACTTCCCAACCCCGAGAATTGGTTTCTATCTACACAACAGTCCTCAGACCGACACCCTAGAGTTCTTGAGTGACGTAGGGCTCCCCCATGTCCCCCACTTTGCAGGGAGAAGTTCGGGGCCTTAGGGTGCCTTCTCCCAGGCTCTGTTAAGGGTTTTTGCAAAGCTGGGCTCCCTCTTTGAGGTCACGCTAAGCCAGAGAGAAAGACAGTGACGTCTCCACCCAGGCCAGCCGGAGGACAGTGGTCCCGTAGGAGCAGCAGCCGGACGCAGGGCGGTGTGCTGGGCAGGCTCCGCCAGAACCCCTGCTGCCCTGGGGAGGGGGAGGCTGGCAGCGGGGCCACCCTCCCTCCAGTAACAGGCCCCACGCCTCTGCCAGAGCTGGTGAGTCAAAGCCAGGACTGGCTCTCTGAGCTCCCAGGCTGGCAGAAGAGAAGGTGCAGACAAGACTGCCACCCGCTGCCCAGAGGAGGCTGCTCTTGGCTCCCTGACAGGTGGGCGAGGCGCTCCAGGCAGGAGGGCAGTTCCCTTGGAGGACTAAGAAAGGCCTTGCACAGAAGGCCTTGGGGGAAAGCATATGCCCCAGTTGGAGAGGCCAGGTGGTCTCGGGTCAAGATCAGGGTAAAAGATGAACTGGAGCCAGCTCCCAGAGACCTCTGCTCACAGTGGCGTGGGCACACCCAGTGGGCATTAGGGCCCCAGTGAAGGATCAGAGCTGAGAAGTGTCACAGTCAGAGCTCAGTCCTCAAGGAGACCTGGCCAGCCGCACTGTAGGTCACAGCAGGGTGCAGCCAGGCAACCGTTGGTGGGGCCTGGCCCGCTGACTCTGGGACAGGGGCTAGACATTTTAGGTCCCCTCTTCCCAGGCTCCAAATCTAATGTCCAACCAAAGTGATCAGCATTGGCCTTGGGAAGAGAGGCCAAGGACATGGGATGCTAAGGAGGACATCCTGGGTAGCATTCTTTTGACAGGTCAGTCAGTAGCCAGGTGCATGGACAGTGGACTTGTGTGGTCCAAGGCAAGGACCTGCCGCTGTCCTGGAGGTTGGTATCATACCAGAGGGAAGGCGGCTCCCTGTGTTCTGTGTCTTCAGAGCCCAGGTGGCATCCCTCGAGCTACTGACAGTGGCCAGCCCCCTTGCACTCTGACAAGCCTCTTCCTGGCTCTGGCAGGAACCTCTTCACCCATCCCAGCCCCTTCCTGGTCAGTTCCATCCTGGGCAGCTTTGTGGGCTGCTAAGACAGGGGTCCAGGGCCCCCAGCCAGCACCCAGTCGTCTGATCACCAGGAGGCGGAGGCTGCCCACGGGTCAGCAGGCAGATGCTGGCAGGGCAGGAAACCAAGACGAGGAGTCCCTGGGTCCCTTTGTCTTGGGCACCGAGATGGTGCAGGTGGTAGGACAGGGCCCTGCCCGGGTACAGGCTGAGCTGGGTTTGGCCCTGGAATCAGGGGCAAACTTCCTCTTGGGGGGCAGGGGTGCTGTTTCCAGGAGTGGTTGGTGCCTGGTTACCAGAAAGGGATCCTAAAGAGTTCTGGGTTGCACCCCCAGAGCCTCTCAGGCCAAGGGCACAGATGGCCAGGAGAGCTCACCTCTTGATCCTAGGATCTTTTAGCAAGAGTAGCAAGAGGTCCACAGAAAAGAGGGTGCTGTTTCAGGGACCACCTTTGAGAAAGGACACTGGCTGGGCGCCCAGGGCAGCCCTGGAGGTGAGCACAGGGCCCAGGTTGCTTGGGCCGCTGTCTTGCAGTCCCAGAAGTCCCAGGCGGGAGGATCTGCCGGGGGTGGAGGATAGTGGGGGCATCTGTTTGGAAACGCCTGTCACATTTTGGTCGATTCCGTGCAGTCACAGCTGCCCGGGGGGTTGTCGTGGCCTGGCAGTGGCCGTGGAGGGGCGGTGAGCCACCCCCTCCGGAAGCTGTGCAGAGAGCGGCGCAGGGAGCCCAGGCGCTTCCAAAGCCGGAGCCGGGGTTCGCTGGGGCTCTCGGGGTGGTGGGGCATGCACTCGCGGGCCCTGCGGTGGCGGGGGTCCAGAGCAGCCGGCCTGCAGAGGATCAGGAACAGTAGACAAGAAGCCAGCAGGAGGAAGATGCAGGCCAGGGCGATGAGCACAGGGAGGGGGTCCGTCGCCCCGGTGAGAGTCCCAGGGGTGACAGGAGCCGTGAAGGCGTCCTGGGGGCTGGCGGCCCTGGGGCTGGAGAGACTGGAGTCCTCTGTGCTCATGTCTCCTGCAACAGAAAGGAACCCAAGGTCAGCACAGGTCAGCGGAACCCGAGGCTCAGGGCAGGGAGAGACTTACCTGGGGACATCGATGGGGGCTGGGCTTGGTTAAACCAGGTAGCATGATGGCCATGTGATAGGTTAGGACAGTGAGGCCCAGAGAGTTGGCAAGGCCCAGGGCCTGTCCCACCAGTTTGTAAGTGGTGGAGTGGACCTGGACTGGGGCCTCTTCCCCTCTCGCCTCTGCCCTTCTGTCACGGAGGAGACAGAGGGTAATGCCTTTCGCATTTAGAAACCAATTCTCATGAATGGCCGTAGTCTTAGACCTGAAAGTTTGGAATCAAAGACCAAGTCCACCAATAACTTGTTCTGTGACCAGAGCAAGTCACAGGTTATAAGTTAGCTGGCAAGGGCCCTGGTGACTATCTAATGGCAAAGCTGCAGACGAGGGTCCCCAGGCTTCACCAGGTCTTGACAGCACCTTTAGCTGTGATTTTAGAAAAAGAGAAACAGAGGTTCCATGAATATCTGGAAGCCTGGCTTCTCTCAAAACTCCAGAAATTCACCATTAGCCACACTGGGCCGTGGGCCTTTCAGGTAGCAGCAGCTGCCTACTTTAGACAGGGAGCCCAGCCCACCACGCACCCTCAGGTCCAGCGCACACCTGCCTGGCTCCATGAATGTTCCCGTGGCTGCCGTCCGATGCCGTCCAACCTGTTCCCATGACAGGTAGGGAAGTCAAGGCCCGGAGAGGGGAAGGCCAAGCCCAGGTTCACTTGCCAGGCCCCTGAGCCAGTGGCTAAGCAAAGGCCAAAACCAAGTTCCCTGACTCCTGGCCACGTCTCCTTCCCACCCCTTGGGCCCCCAACCTACTCCCTGAGCTGCTCTAGGAACAGGTGGGAAATAAGCCCACAAGGAATTGGCCAGGTGGGCTGGACCTGCCCAGAGCTCATGCACTTCCAGGCCTTCCTGTTAGGGTTTAAGGTCATCCCAGGACGGCACCCTGCAGGTGTCTGTGGAGATACAAAGACTGAGCTTTTGGCTGCCTGTGGCTGGGTGGCAGATAACAATGACTCTGGAGCCTGCTGGCAGGTACGGCATGGACAGGGAGGACAGGTGGGCAGGCTCCCTGGAAGCACTGGCAGCCCCCCCAGCCCAGGCCTATGGTCCTGCTCCCTGGATCTGGCCCCAGGTACTGGGCTCTTCCAGTTTCCCAAGGGAAGCCAGAAACTGGATTTTTTTTTTTTTTAAGACAAATATTCCTGATGTTTCAATGTTGACAACTCATTCAATGTGTTTAAAGCAACATGGAGGAAAACAAGCAAGAGGGAGACAACAAAGGCCAAATAAACTGGATTCCAAACATTTTGAAATGGATTTTCAAATATTTGAAACACTCCACAGGCCAATTCTAATCTCAACAGGCTCGGTCCAGCTCACAGGCCAGCATTTATGATCTCTGAATTCTACAAACACAGGACAGAAGATCCAAAAGAGGGTCTAATATGACTGATTGTTTCTGTTCAACCCTGGAGTCTTTCCTGAGGCTAGGGAGAGCAGAACTTCCTCTTCCCCACGGCAGCTTAGTCTGACCCAGGTTTCAAGAGTCAAGTTTCAGCTGGGCACAGTGTCCCACACCTGTAACCCCAGCTGCTCGGGAGGCTGAGGCAGGGGGATCACAAGTTCACAGCCAACCTTGGCAATTAAGCAAGACCCTGTCTCAAAAAAATAAAAAGGGCTGGGGATGTAGCTCAGTGGTAGAGTGCCCCTAGGTTCAGTCCCCAGAACCCAACAAAGAAAGAAGGAAAGGTTGAGAAACACAGACAGACAGACAGACAATTCTCCAGCACCAAAACCCAGCAGGAGAGACTCGTCATGCCCAGGTTCTGCGTGTAGCTGTGGAGAATCCCTGACGGCAGGCAGCGGGGAGGGGAGCATGGTCACCCAGTCCTCCAGCCCTGGAGCCCCTGTCCTACCCCAGGTACTCACCGGTAGCTCCGGGACCTAACTTCTGGCTCCCTGCGCCCAGCAGACTGAGGGCTTCCAGAGCTCCCACCCCACTTCCCACGGCCCCTCCACACCCCTCCTGGCACTTCCAGACAGAAAACGACCCCTCCCAGCTCCTGCCTGGAAACTCTGATGCCCGTCTAGTTGCCCAGGGCCTCCGCCCTTCAGGCATCAAGCCGGAGGGCTCTCTGGCTGGGTACTGTGTGCGGGTTGGCCCTTCCTTGAGTCTCAGCAGCAGGAGGGGTGGGGTGGACCCGCTCCGTCTCCCTCCGGGACCAGCTGTCCCTCTAGGCTGGCCTGGGAGGGGGCTGGAGAAAGGAGAGGAGAGTCTGAGCTGGAAGAAGCTTTGATTCTACTAGTGCTAGTGTCGGATGTCCAGGGCCTTCAGATAGATTGGGAGAAGCCGGCAGGCCAGCCCAGAGGTCCAGGCTCCAGGCCTTAGGCCTGCATCAATCAAAGCAAGACTGAGGTTGGAGTCAGCGTCTGAGCTGTTCCTGTGGTGCCCTAGAGCATAAGGGGGGTCCAGCCACCAGCTCTCTCCACACCCCCTGCTGACCAGCCAGCGAGGGCCAGCTGGGTCGCAGGAAAGAGGCCCTCCAAGTCAAGCCAGGGACGGTCTTGGACGCAGGGGAAGCCTGTCCCTTCTAACTGAAGTCCTACTCTGGCTGCATCATGCAAGCTCACTCTAGAACCTTCTCCCTTCCTTCAGAGTCTCACAGAATAGGACCTGTAAGAGCAGAGAGGGCTCCTCTGTGGCCTTGGCCTCGAAACCTCACTGTCCTTGTCTGCTCTCTGCAGAACCAGAGGGCTTGCCGAGGCCTGAGCACACCTCAAATCCTCCCCAGGGCCCCCCAGCAAGGGTCTCACCCCCATTCCCTCCCCAGACCTGCTCTGCGGTCCCCGAGCACTGACCTCAGAGCCAGCCCTCAGCAGGCTGAGCTCGGTGAGCAGGTGTCCTCAGCAGTCCAGGGGAGGCCTGCGGGAGCACCAGGAGGCCCCTGGGACCCCACCAGGCCCTGGGCTGTGCCGTGCCCTGCACCCTCAGTCGGCCAGGCCTGGCGGAGTGGGCTCACTCCCCGGCTCTCCAGCTGGACCTGGCTTTGCTGGGAGTTGGCCCTGCCTTGGGGGAGGGGACAGCCAGGAGGGTAGGGATGGCAACTGGGTGGGAAGAGGAGAGGGGCTGTCGCCTCACTCTGGCCCGTCTCCTTGGAGGCCTCTCAGGGGCGGAGGAGCTGGGGGAACAGGGGCGGGTGGAACTGTCCCCAGGCCACTCAGCGCTCACCTTCTCCCTTGGAAGTTCCAACAGCCTGGTGGGCGCGTCAGCCAGCGGGTGGCCATTCAGTGCCTGCCAGCCCCCAGGTTACTGGGGAGAGAAGCGGCAGGAGGGGAGCAGAGGAATGATGGGCCCTGGCAGCCCTGAGGCCCCCTGCCGCAACCCCAGGCCCAGCCTTCTGGGCCTCTCTCTCCACTTCTCAGAAAAGCACGCTTCCTTTGAAGGCGTCCAGCTGCAGAACTGAGGGGCGAAACCGGCATTGCTAAAGGTCAAAGAGATCACAGGGCAGCAGGCTTGGGGACGGCCAGAGCCATGGTGGGCCCTGGGCTCTCTCCAACACACACACACACACACACACACACGCACACACGCACACACGCACACCCTCCCCAGCCTCCTGCCTTCCTGGAAGCGAGATCTACCCTGGCAACCAGCTACTGCTGGGAGAAGCCCCCCCCCCCAGGGCTCTGAGCTCCCAGATACGCAGCACAGGAGGAGTCATGGCCGCGTCCAAGACCTGAGCCTGGACCCCCACATCTTTACGAGCTATAATTTTTGTTTTTAATTCTTCCCTCCTGCATTTAACCTTGACCACAGAAAGAGGCCTTGTCTGCCACCCCCAAATGGCTGGGAGCCTCCCTGTGGACTGTCAAAGCTGCAGAGACCCTTCAAGATCATCTTTCTCTTCCTACAATGACCACACTGAGTTCCAGAGAGCTGTGACCTGCCCACGGCCACCCAGCGACTTGGTGGGTGGGAGGTTTGGTGATCTCCCCAGACCCGGGTGGCACCAGGCGCCCAGAACCCACGCTGGGGTTCCTGCGTCTTCCTTCTCAGACTTGGCCACCCTCGGTCTCCTTGACCTCCTTGGCCCAAACCCGCTGGCCACTGGGCCTCTGCTCCTGAGACAGAGGAGGCAAAACACCCTCCGGGCAGCTCAGCCTCTCCCCTGTCCTGCTCCTCCCAGATCTGAATGGACAAAGCACCTTCATGTCTGTCCCTTCTCAGGGAAGGGAGGGAAAGAACTCCACAGCAGGGAACTCAGCCGTCCCCAACCCCAGCATCAATCAAGGGGGCTTCCCAAGAGGGTGGCGGAAGCTGTCCTGTGCCAGGCCCCGGACAAAACGCTCTGCAGGATCACCTCCAACCTAGCCTTCAGTCCTGCGAGGCTGGTCACCACTGTGCCCATCTGCAGATGAGGAAGCTGAGGCTCAGGGTGTTGAAGTCCTTGTCCATGGTCACTCAGCCAATAAATGACAAAGCCAGGAATCTCTTCCCGGTGCACCTGACCCAGAACACTACTTCCTGCTGCTCCAACGTGCTTTCCCTCCTCTCTGCCGTCAGCCTGCTTTTCAAAGTCCTTGGGTGCACCTGCCTCAGTCCCCGCATGTCCCTCGGTCCAACCAGGCCAACTCCAGCTGCCAGGCTGGTCATGCTCATACCAGCCTCATGCCACCACTCTGTGTCCCCCACCCCGTTCCCCTGAGGCTGCCATGTCCCTTCTTCACCCCAGACAGGGATGCATCCCGTCCCTCCCCATGCTCTCCACGGTTCCCACCTGGTTGTCCCTCCCAACTCTTCCTGCTGAGCCAGGGCCTCCCTGTCCTGCCACTGTCTCCTCTGGCCGGTCCCACCCCACAGCCTCTGTCGGCTTGGTCTTTGCATCCTCTCTTCTCTGGAAGTTTGTCCAGTGGGCAAAGATAGGGAATCTGCGTTGGGGCTTTGGTGGCAATGACACAGAAACCCGATTCCTACTGTATCAGGCCAAGGGAGCCCGTGCTGGAGTGATATCAGGACACCCACAGAACCCAGGGCAATCAGCCAGGGAAAGAGGTGCCGCAGGGCTTCCGGAGTATCAGGGGCCAGGGGCCCTGACCCCCAGTGCTCCGTGTTGGGTGACTTTCCCCTGTGCTTCCTGAATGTCACCTTAGTGCCCTCACTAAAGCTCTGCTAAGTGTTTACAATTCACTCTATGCTCCTTCATTCAGTGGGAACGTGGGCACTGTACAGAGACGTAGGGTAGCAGACGGTGACGGGGGTAGGGAGGGCCTGGCAGGGGATGCAGTTCCATAGACAGTGTCCCTTGGTATCTGCACGGATTGATTCCAGGACCCTCAGAGAGACCCAAATCCACGAGTACACAAGTTTCTGATATAAAACGGTGTGTTGAGTCTACGTGTGCATGCGCACGCACACACACACACACACACTCACACACACTCACACACACACCCCATAGCTTACATCCTCCCATCTACTTCACCTTTTTTGTTTGTTGTTTGGTACCAGGGGATTGAACCCTGGGGCACTCAATCACTGAGCCACATCCCCAGCCCAATTTTGAATTTTATTTAGACACAGGGTCTCACTGAGTTGCTTATGGCCTCACTAAGTTGCTGAGGCTGGCTTTGAACTCACGATCCTCCTTCCTCAGCCTCCCGAGCTGCTGGAATTACAGGTGTGCATCACCGTTGCCCAGCTCACTTTTTATTTCTAATATATTTTTGTTTTAATTAACACATAATAATTGGGCATATTTATGGAATACAGAAACTTCAATATGCACATACAGTGTGTAATGGCTAGATCAGGGAACTGGTGTGGCCATCCCCCCAGACGGTAGTCATTTTCTCGCAGTGGGACTGTTCAGGATCCTGTCTGCTAGCTTTGTTCACTTACCCAGTTGCTATCAGCCACGGGTATCTTACTGCAGAACATCAGGAGCCTCTCCTACCCACCTGCACCTGGTACCTGTCCGCCACCTTCTCTCCATCCCTGCCTCCCCCACATCTCTCCCACAGGGAGAGGCCACACTGTTCTGCTCTCTACATCTTTGAGATCAACTTTTTAGCTTCTACCTACAACTGAGAACGTGAGATTTGTCATTATATCTGATTTATTTCACCTGTTTCATCCAGGGTGCCATAAGTGACAGAATTTCGCTCCTTTTTGTGGTGAATATTCCATTGCTATTGTACGGTTTAAATCATCCCTAGGTTACTTGTGATACAGTGTAAATGCTAAAGAAACCATTGTCATACTGAATTCTTTTAGGATTAATGACCATGGGGGAAAGTCTAGACCTCTGCAGTGCAGACACAATGTTTTAAAAATATTTTCAATCTTCAGTTGGTTAAATCCACAGATGCAGGGCTGCACAGTGTTCAGGTAGGGTCTGATGAGAAGATGACATTTTAAAAAGGTCTGAAGCAGAGGAAGGAGTGTGCATGCCAATACCTGGAAGGAGAGATTGTCAGGCAGAGGAAAAAGCAAGGGCAAAGGCCCTGTGGTTGGCATGCACTTGGTGTTCAAGAAATAGCAAGGAGACCAATTGCCTGGGGTGGGGTGGATAAGGAGAAAGTGGTGGAGGGGAGCTCAGAGAGGCCATGGTGGGGGCACACTACTGACACTCCCACAGCTTACTACAAAACAGATTCCCTCACTCTCTGGACCCAAGGTCAAAAATCTCAGCAAAGGGTGTGACTGACTCAGCTTTGAGCAGGGGCCACTCCTGAACCACTTGCCTCTGGCCTCAGCAGTGGAGGTCAGAAAGAAAATGACAGTTACCGTCCACATGCCAGAGCTAGAGAGAGATGTGGGGGAGGAGGAGGGCTGGATCTCCAGGGGAAGCTGAGGAATCGGGGCCTCACCAGGCTCCTCCACCCAAATCCTGAGGAGCCCTCTCTGGCCACCCGGTGGCTGCAGCCTCAGACTGCTTCCCGTGTGACCTGGCCGAGTGCTCTACCTGCCTCAGGTTGGTGAAGGTTCCTTCAGGATGGTCCTGGGGTCAGCTGTGCTTCTGCTGGTAGCCTCGAGGCAGACTCCTTGTAACCAGGGAGCGCCAGGCCACCTGGGAGTTCAGCAGAGATAGTACCCAAGGACAGCAGGAGGGTCTGCGTGTGGACAATCTTGGAGCCAGGACTTTGGAGTGGGACTCCCATGTAAGGACCCTTACGGTGGTCAGCCTGGCTGCGGCCCAGCGTGACCGACAAAGAAGTGTGGCAAGATGCATCTTGGGATCCGGGCACCTCTAGAGGCAGATGGGGAGTGAATGGTGGCCGTGTGGGTGACCTACCTCAGCTGTCACTCATCCTCCCAACCTGAGGGAGGGCCAGGCAACAGGGTTGGCATGGGCCCTCAACAGCCAGACGTCCTGGTGGGGATTAGAGGGTCTCCCGCACCCCCAGCCTCTCAGGAAGCCATGGGTTGAGCCGGGACAGGGTGGTGTGGGGGAGGGGAGGCCGGGCTGCACAGACACCTCCTGTCCCTGCGGCGGGTTAGAAGTGACTCCACTGTTTGCTCTTCCTCAGTTGAAAGCCACGGACGCCGACGAGGGCGAGTTTGGGCGTGTGTGGTACCGCATCCTCCACGGTGAGTGGGCCCCCAGGACGGGGCTGCAGGGAGGAATCCGGAACTCCGATGATTCACACCAAGTGGGGGTGCTCAGGTGATGGCCGTGTCCCCGGAGTCTCATGCTCCGGTGCTTCCCAAAGCCATCACCCTGACGAGTGGGGCCTTGGAGTCCAGGGCGGCCTCCTCCCCTGCCCCTCCCCCCCAACTCCCCAGGGATTCACTGCCATTGGTTCACCTAGAGTCAGGGCCCACCCCTGAGCCGTCACCATGGCCGGTGTGACATACGCTGATCTGCCCCCTTCTGGAACCAAGAGTGCAGTTTCCCTACCTAAAGGACATGGGCTGTGTGGAGGAGGGAGGGTCCCCAGTGGAAAGTCATGGGGAAGGCCACAGAGCCAGCCCTGAGGTGTCCACGAAGCCCCGGACCCAGCACCCACAGGGAGTTTGGTTTTGTGAGAGCCCAGATCCTTCTG